GATATAGCTTCTGTAATAAGGTCGTAGAAAAATTTAAATTTTCCTGCTGGGTTCAAGCTCACAAAGGTCTCTGAGAAGAAGTCGGTGTAGCGCGCTTCCCACAGCTCGTAGACCCTGTCCCACTCAGTGCGTGTAGAGTTGATTCTGTGACTGCGCTGCAGATGCTTGTGTTTTCCCACAGACACAGTGGTGATTACCGGGTAATGGTCCGAGCCCCATGAGTCCTCACAGACCTCCGTGTTGATCAGCTGATCAATGTCCGGAGTGGAGAACACGAGATCGATGTTAGAACCGTAGTTCCTTCGCAAATTTGCATACGTAATCGTGTCGAAGTTATGCAGAACCAAGCCATGCGTCGTATATGCCTGCTGCAGATACCGGCCGTTGTCATCAGTGCACTCACAGTTCCAGCACACATTGCGAGCGTTGAAATCTCCCATCATAAGTGTAGCCCGATTCCTATCTACGCATTGCACTACCTCGTCCCACCCCTCCTGGGACATTGTGCCATAGGGAGGTCTGTAGCAGATTATAAGGTCCATTGACGGTCTGCAGTTGTTGAGACGAAGCCCGCAGGTCTCGACCCTTTCGTTACGAAGGCTGAAGCGAATCTCACTAAAGTCGATATCCTCACGCACCCAAACTACTATCCCTCCTGCTCTCGAGTCTCGATCCTTTCTAACGGCACGGAAGTTGGGAATACTTAAGTGATGCTTCGAAGTTAGCCATGATTCCACGCACACAATGATGTCAAATTCCGGGGCCGCTTTTCTTACTTCTGAGAATTTGTGAAAGATGCTTCTGGCGTTCCAGAAGACTATTTTGAGCTTTGGAGGAGTGAATTTGGTTTTTAGTTTGTGGTATGGCATTGCAGTTACACTTTATTGTTCGAGTATCGATCTGTTGTTTTCCTTGTCGACCTCGTCTTGATCGGCGAGCTTTTTGATGATTCTATGGATCCTTTGTTTTAGATTGTTACAGGTAATTAGCTGTTTAGTGATACACAGCATCGCTGAGAGAGCCTCAGTGTCTGTGGTGAAGTTCTTGACGATTGTATAGACGTTGCTAGCCCCATAAGTCTGATGTAGCATCGCCGATAGTGACTTGAAATTAAGAGGGTACAGAGATATATTCGCTTCTAGGTAATTTCTTGCTGGTTCTAAATTTTCTTTTACTTCCTGTAACGACGGTTGTTGCTCTACTTGTTTGGAGCGTTTAGCGGCGGGTTCTAATGTTTGTTTGGGCGAGAACACCGGAAACATTTTGCGAGTTTGGTCCCTTTGCAGAGGAGGCTTTACCTTGGTAGGTGAAGGCGACGATAGCTGTCTCTTCATCGTCGTTGAAGCAAGGAGAGATTTGCTCATGAGTGCCTGAGAGTTGTCCTCCGTGGCCTCGGTTGTTGAAGCTGAAGCTGTAGTTTTCGCCACCACCTCAGTTTGTAGGGGCAGAGACTTTGCTGCAGCCGCGATATCCTCTGTAACGTGTTCGACTTCATCCGACTTGTTCGTCCTATGGGGTGTCTCTTCGGTGTTTCTGCAGTATTTCGCAATGTGTCCCTCTTCTTTGCATAAAAAGCAGGTAAGCTTCTCAGTCGTGAAATACAGCGTGTACGTCATTCCGTCATGCTCGATTTCTAATTTGGGGGGTATCTTTTCTATATCGTTGGCTTTAACGTACACCTGCCTTCTGAAACTAAATACATTTTCGTATCCTCGATTCTTCAGGCCCGAGTGCACAAAAGTGATCTGTGAGGCAGGTTGAACTTGCAGTTTGTTCAGTTCCTGTATTATTTCCTCTTGCGTGATGGTTGGGCAAACGTTAGATATAAGCATACGCTTGGAGTGGTTCACTAAGGGGCGAATGGTTAGCTTGTGACCCTCTACTTCAATAGTTCGGTCCGTAAGCTCTTGTACCAGAGCTTTATCGGAGAGGTAGATACATACTCGATTCATCGAGATGCGCGACACGAATCTGACATTTTTGGGCTGGACAATCGTTCCCACGGCGATCGTATATGAATGAATGGAAATACCGTTGATCGAATCAATAATAATGGCTTCTTCTTTCGTTGGATATCTAAAGTGCTGTGTCATCTCAGAGTATGACGGTTTCTGCTGTTTGTTTTGATTGCCCGGCTTTGCCAGTGGTCTAGACTGATGAGCTAAGGCCATCCTGGCTCGTTCAAATAGACTTATAGGTCCTACACAAGATATTATTTTGTTCACTGCACCCCCAGGCACCTGCACACATGCAAGTGACCCAAGGTGTGATAGTTAAAAGTAAAACGAGCACACAAATTCACGAATAGCACGTCAGAGCGACGGAGCGGTAAGCCTGCGATGTTTACTGTACGACAGCTAAACATCGAATCTAGTACACAAGTATAATATAAAATAATTCAAGAGACACGATACATTATGTATAGGTGCACAATGAGAAAGTACGTATACGTACTACTGCGGCACTACATACTGCTGGGGGGAATGGCCAAGATTACAACATTTGCATTCGCGAGATGGATGTCGAGGCGCTCGAGCGCGTCTGTATACGTAGTACGTCTATAAAAGGAATGGGGAGGATTTTTATCAGGATATGGCAAATGGCTCTGCGTGTACCACTACTGGCATGTATCTCTCTAGCTGTGCAGCGCCACCAAGTGCATAGAGTATACCCAGAGAGGAATTTTAAATGTCACGCGCGCAGCGAGCAATTGCGCATTTGGCTCTCACGTCGTCGTCGTCGAGCGCATTGAAAGCGCGAAAAACCAGTTCGATTATCATATTTGATCGTAAAATGCCTTACCGTTAAATATTCGTATGTGAGCTCGAGCGAGAGACGGACAGACGTATACGCGCTCTCTCTCTCTATGCTCGCGAGCATAAATGCACTTGGCGCGCGCACGGCAAGCTCATTTTACGATTCTCGCGCTCGTTGCCGCACGAGTGTGCGCGTCATATAGAGGATATGTGTATATGGGTGCGCGATTCTTTTAATGCGATTTTATTATTATATCTAGCTGCTCGAGCTGCGCACATAGTTTTTTGATAAAAGCTCGCGCAGCAGCAGCGGTACGAACGAGCGCGAATAAATAAATAAATAAAGGCGTGTGTGCGCGAATCTCGAGTGCGAAAGCGCGAACAAAGGGCCAATTTTTTGCCTTGCTCAGCCAATTCTTGTTTCATTTAATTTCCCTTTCCGAAGAGACGAAATTATCCCCCGCCCGCATCTTATGTATACCTGTGTGTATCGAGAGTTGAAGTGGCTGCCGAAGCGCGAATGCAATAATACGTTACTCCGGTGAACAACGCGCGCATTCAGAGAGATGCTCTCGCAGCTCCTTCGTGCAGATGTACCCATACGGAGGAATGCGATTGAAATTTCCTTCGATTCTCCAGAGAGGGGGGGTTGAGAAAAATGCAGCATTGTGAATTTTTTTCCTCGTACACGTAATTTCGGCACAATCGCCGCGAGCGAAGCACCGAATTAAATCGAACTCTGCGAGCAACGTAATAAATTCAACCTTTTTTCTTTCATTTCTTTCGTAAAATAAAAAAGAGGTTGAAAGAAAAAAGGAGATTTTCCAGGCAAAGTTTCTTCTTTAATGCAGAGCTTCTTACTCTTCTAAGCAGCTCTCCTCTCTCATCGTCGTCACACACAGTCAAAAAACCTTACACACGCTTCAAACGCGCGCAGAGAGGGCTATAAACACTTGACTGTATAATATGCGCTGCCACACCGTAACCCCGCGTGGCTGCACTACCATCTCGTATATATCAATTTTCCACTCGAGACACTCTCGTTATATTTACAAATGGTGCTGCTAGAGCTGCGGCAGCGAGCGAGGGTGAGCGTACAACCTATAGCGAATTCTTGAATTTCGTCGTCGTCGTCGTTCGTATTATGTGCGTTGCTCGCAGTGTACGGTTATATTATATAGACGACGAGCGAGGAGGAGGACGAGCGACGCGCGGAATTCGTATAGGCGCGCATTATAATAGCTCGACTATATAATGCTACTCGCGAGGAGGAACTGCGCGAATTATTGCTCGCGCAGGAATAATGTATACTCGGCATTTAACGCAACTACGCAACTGCAGCTTCTTCGTCTTCTTAGCGTTACTTTACTCCAAAGCATGCATACGCATATAGGTAACTATCGTATTACTCCAAGCAGCGGATATGTTTTTCGCTCGATTCGTAAATATGTACGTATACATATGTACGCATACGTATATATATCTGCGTACGACACGTAAAATTTTGCAAACCCTAAAGAAACTCGTTTTACTTGCGAAAGAGCTTATGAGCTGCATTATACCGATTTGTTTGCAAAATACACACATTTTGCTCGTATACACACGCGCATATCCCAAGCACACACGCAGCAGTGCTTTATTGTAATAAATAATACTCGCCTCGCGCGAGAATCGAATTATCGCGCGAAACGGATAATACATACACGTACACACGAGCGTCGGAGTCGAGGAGCGAGCGCGAGCAAAAAAAAAAGTGCCTGATATTGTCCAAGAGGCGCGCGCGAGTTTGCGTCATCGGCGCATTATTATCATATACACGCGCGCGCTAAGGTACTTGCAGTATATAGTATATACGTGCTCCATTGAGCGAAATCATATTTTTCGAAGCTTGGCCTATTCGATTTTATCGACCTGGCGTCATTATTGAGACATTAACCTGCCGCGTTACCGCGAGAGAGAAAAAGAGCGAGAGAGTACATAAAACCTCTCTCGCGCGAGTAAACGCGATTATATACGCGGCCTTTTATAAGTATAATATACATAAGCAGATTAAAGAGCGTACGCGAACGTGCGTGAATATACGAGGCACGTGGAAATTCGTCAATTTTCTACGCGATATATGCGCACTCTTCGTTTTATGGCTCTTTTTTTTGCTGGTATCCTGTTGAAAATGATTCATGAATAACGTATTGTGATTTTTAATACTTCGACATCTCTGCGTTTGAAAAATTTTATGAGGAATTATTTCAAATAAGAAGAGATCGATAATATCTTATACGAATAAATTTTTGGATAAAGTAACTGCTTTAAAATGTCAACACGACACACTGTCAACGTTAAAGGCACACGATTGTACAGTACAGAACTCGAAACGAGCCTGTGCCCTAAATTATATCGATTAATTAACACTTCTGCTCCAGTAGTCACCGGGAAAACATCAACAAACTGTGGTAAGTCTTATTTTGTTATTCCATTCTTGAATCAAATTCATCGGGCAATTTCATTAAGTTGTGTACTACTTTTTCATCTCGTTTAGATTATACTTGAAAAGTACAATCATCGTCAAATTTTAAGCACTAAAAAAGGGTCACGAAACAACTCGTACAACGAGAAATTTGATAAAATTCCCGAAGAAATATAAATCCCCAAGCAACGACATGTCGATCAACGAGGATTTTTTAGAGGTCGAAGTATTCGAATGCGATGATTGCGGCGAGAAACACGAGACCAAAAAACGTTTGGAAGAGCACATACTCAATAATCACTTGGGTAAAGCACAACGCGTGTGTATAAGGTGTGAAAAAAGGTTTGCAAGCGTCCACGTGTTGAAAAAGCATATAAGTGCACAACATTTAGGTGAAATCAATGAATTTACAGTATACGCTTGTAAGATGTGTCCAAAAGTATTCAAAGCGAAATTCTATTTGACATCGCATTACAAAAGCTGTCATATGACAACCAATTGGACATACGCTCAGGGAACGGAGTTAGGCAATTGTGGCAAGGCGCTGACGTTGAAGCTAGTACCCGGAGTTCACTCGTATCTGATGATGCCCGAAATCAGACAACCATCGCCGTTTCGAAAAATGAATCGAATTAATCATTTTTTGCAGAGGATGAGAAGTTTCAAAAGAGACCAACTGCGTGGCAAAGTCAACAACCATGTGAACCAATTACCCACGCGCGCTCAGCAGGCTACACAAGCGCAACGTCAAAGTGGTTTTTCTGTTCAACAGATAAACAAAAGCTTAAATGTTCCTTCGCGCTCGAATATATAAGTTGACTTTTTACTGTATATATAATTTGATTTATTTACAATTATATTGTATAAAATTCAATTTATTTAATAATTAATATGAATAATTTATATAATTTATAATTGTGAATACGACGCGATGCGCTCACGCGTGAAGTCTCGTATCGTATAAGGCATTGCGTTACGAGAAAGTTTCGCCGTTTTATGTATTAGACGCGAGCCTGCACATAGTGTGTGCATATACATACAATATTATATATACGTAATAAATTAGTCGCAACACAGCGCGTGGAATTAACGGAATAATTCGTGAAATTTTTTGTTTCTCCTTCATTTTGATAAATATCTAAAAAGCCCGCGCTAGTGTGTGCGTTGTGTATCATTCAAATAATTTTTTTTTCTGCACTTTCATCTGCGTGTGTAATGTTTTTATTTTTCTGCTTCGCTCGTTTTACGCGCCGTAGATAGATATGTATAAACGTGATACTTTCACACTTGAGAATGTTGAAAAAAGGCATAAAATTCCAACGAATTCGCGGTGACGGCGGCGGGGGACGGGTAATTGGGCGCCCTTCGCGCGCGCCCGAGAATAAGCGTTTGTACAATGATGCAATGTGCATTCGTATATAAATTACGACAATCTCGAGCGACAACAGATGTTGCCGATCGTTTCGAATTGGTATAATATATGAAAAAGAACAAAAAAGTGCACGAATAAAACGGCGATGATGAATTTGATCGGAGCAATGCAGCAGCCACATAGCATACAGCGACGAACGTTATTTTGTTTCTCTCTTTCAGTCAGTCTCTGTCTTTTTTACAAAGCCTACGGAAGAATCGTTGCAAGCTCATATGAAGTTGTTCCCAAGAAGCGCGTCTCGAACAATGCGCGTAATGTGGGCTACGACACCGGTTCAACAACAACAGCAACGCGCCCGCGATCTTTTCTGCATGTGTGTTTGTGCGTCTGTGTTTGTGTGTGAGAAAAGGATTTCGTGTATCCATGCATGGGAGCTGCATGGGAAGTGTTCACGGTGTTATACGCCATAATCGTTGCAGTTTGCATTTTTTCCTCTCTCTCTCTCTCTCTCTCTTTCTTTCTCACTGTGCTCTCTTGGGATATGTAGGTGACGGCGCGAGCGCGCGCGCGAGGCGAGGGAGATCCGACAACAGAGAAAGAAAAAGAAAAAAAAAATTATTTCCGTACCGAAGTTTGAACACACTGTGCATTTCTGTAATTGCACACGATCGCCTTATAATAGCCGCGCGGTAAAGTACTGTAAACCACGTGTCTATATACAGCGTTGCAGCACTCCAAAAGTGATGAAAAAAAAAATCGCGTGATAGATACACGATGTATGACTATAACGTACCACTATACTGTATTGTACGCGGGCGAACGTTGTGCAGTGACGAAAAGTAGTAGCGCATACACACACGTAACAGTTTCAAGGTGCCAAGCGCGCGAAAAATGGGGAAACACACACGGTGAACAGCACGTTCGTGACGCGCGGCGAAGGCAGTAGCTATAGGTGTAGGTAGGTATAACTCGGAAAATTTTCAACAGCGTGTACGTACAGAGCCGCGTAATATTACAACGATCCATTATAATGATGCCATGTGTACAGAGCGCGCCGATATACGAGTATGATTTTTCCCTCATTGCGCGAGTTATTATTATATCGTACGTAAGCTCCGCGGAAACTAAACCAACACATACGTACGTATAGTGAATACAGTGCAGCATACCTCGTGTGCATAGCTATATGCGATGCATGTGTGTGTGTGTGTGTGCAAATCCAGCATTCGCGGACGCATATCGTGCGTATACTTATGCGCGCCCATACATATATTTATATTATACGCGCGTCCATTACGTACGTTATATTTAATTTATGGCATCGAACAATTGAACAAACAGTACCATCTCATCTTTCCGCCTACAGCAGGGCGTTCGCAGTCCGCGTCGTCCCGTGTAGAATCCCCGCGCGTACATATATTGTGTGTATGTATATATCGACGAGAGGCGCGCAGGGAGGAAAAGAGAGAGAGAGAGAAATGTCTTAACGGAGCAGCCGCATTATCATCATCATCATCATCATCATCATCATCAGCATCAAGTCTTGCGGGGTCGGTACATTTCAATCGTCGCGCGCGGCGCGCGTACGACGACGCAGCAGCAGCAGCAGCAGCAGCCAGCACCAGAAGAAGAAGAAGAGAGTCCCGCACACTCTATATAGTTTAGCCTCGAGCAGGTTTTCATCAGCAGCAGCCACAACTCTGAGCTATACATGTATATATTGCACTACGTCTCTGTGTGTATGGAGTACGCGCGTGTGTGTGCGAATTGTATGGCTTATACCTACACTATACACACACACACGTATATATAGTAGTGTATAGTATACCTATATATCGGTGCGCACGAGCCGGTCATTGTACCGTGTGAGTGCAACGATCTGTGCACGAGGGCCTCTCTCTCTCTCTCGCTCACTCATTCACTTATACTTCGTGTGGCTGCATATCTATGTGTGCCTGTGTCTGTGCACACGTGTGTGTGTGCGTTTATAGATTAAATTTATCGCGTGGGCACCTATATGGACGAGAGAGAGAGAGAGAGAGAGGAATGCCTTTGATGGAAAAGTATTATGTAGCGGAGATTTCGATGAACGAGACTTGTACTCTACTCTGTGGTGCTTCAAAAATCCGATTCGCGCGCGCACGCGCGGGCTAAAAGTTTCTTATCGGCCTTTTCGATTTTTCTTTTCCTTTTTTTTTTCGCGGCGCGCCGATATCCCTCGCACCTTTTTCGTAATCGCGGGTGCGCGCGCGAAAACGAGAGGTGTATTACGCGCGGGTTTTGTACGCGGGAGCACATTTCATATACACCGCCAAATCGTGTGTAATCGCAATGCGATACGATACGCAGATTGTATTATATTATATATCGTATATTACACGCAATCGCGCGGCGAAGAAAGTCCGTGTAAGACGGTACGTATGTATGTTTTTTTTCTCTCTTCCTTCGGTTGGTAAAAGGAAAAATGCATAAAAAATCGCGCGAAACGATATTTCGAAATCTAGCGCTGTACGAATTATGACAAAGTTTCTCTCTCTCTCTCTCTCTCTCTCTCTTTTCTCTCTTGATTATAACTGCCAATCCGAATGTACTCTATATTTAATTACCTGAAAATAAATACGCGCGAATAGCTGTTTGGACGTCACGTGCGTCGAGCGGTGAAAATCAAATTACGAAAATTCGAGATGGCGTATATAATATTATATCCACACACGTGCTTGTAATTGTAACGTCATCAGCTACGCGCTGTGAAAACTGCACTGCGCCAATACTGGTACGTATCCCCGATCGGTTGTGCAATATGGAAATATCGAGACTCTCGAGCTATATATCGTATACGCTTCATGCATGCACATCGGAGCGCAGCAGCAGCAGTATAGTAGCAGCGGCAGCATCGAGACGCGATCGAGTTTCGGGGTATATAAAGGGGGTTCAGTGTATACCTCGAAAATTGTTTTTCGAGTGTGCACCTCTATACGTACTATATAATATTCGCTCTATGGCTAAAGTCAACATGTGCTGCATCTCGTGTGTGTATAATATAAACCGCGTGTTAAAATCGCGCAGGTTGTTTTTCTACCTTGCGCTTATATATTATATATACACAAACGCTTATAAAGCCGAAAGATGAATATCGATCCGGCATTTGCTGTATAGAGAGCCGCGTATATAGCTGCGCACCTACACACACACGTGTGCGGCCTAGAGTCTGGTGCACATACGCGCCGCGTGGAGGCAAATTGCGAGTACATAAAATAGACACGATACCGATCTTAGGTATGCAATACGTATTAGGCAATATGGCGAAAATTCGGCCGCGAGATGACAGCAGCGTCGCAGGTCAAGTCATGCGCAGATGCATGCTTTTCGTGACCGGGCCATCTCGATAGCAGTAGATATTTTTCGGTGCGACTAATTGACAGTTCTTTCTGAATAAAAAAATAAATATGAAATAAATAATAAAAATGAACTGTAGTGTTAAAAATTAAAAGGGAAAAAAATTTTAATTCACAAAAGACCCTAAATTAAGGAAACAATGGTTAGAAGCAATTAAAAGACCAAACTATAATCCAAAGTCATGTCATTGTTTGTGCATTAAACATTTTTAACCAACTGATATTTATACAAAAAGTATCCTAGGTATGTAATATTGATAACTTTGTACTAATTTGTTCATATTCTTGAAGTCTTTCTTATATAGTAGTATGAACAAATTAGTACAAAGTTATCAATATGACATACCTATGATACTTTTTGTATAAATATCTGTTGGTTAAAAATGTTTAATGCACTTGGATTATAGTTCGGTCTTTTAATTGCTTCCAACCATTGTTTCCTTAATTTAGGGTCTTTTGGGAATTAAAATTTTTTTCCCTTACAATTTTTAACAGTGCCGTTCATTTTTATTATTTATTTCATATTTACTTTTTTATTTAGAAAGAACTGTCAATGAGTCGCACCGAAAAATATCTACTGCTATCGAGATGGCCCGGTCACGAAAAGCATGCATCTGCGCATGACTTGACCTGCGACGCTGCTGTCATCTCGTGGCCAAATTTTGGCCATATTGCCTAATACAGTCGTATTTATAAGTCCGCGTGTAATAATTCGCACGCGCGCGCGCCGAGTAAGTGCAACGACTCACACTTCTCGTTTTTCTCGAGAAGCGATCGCTAAAAAAGCCAAAATTACACGCGCTCATTTGATACTTTGGTTTGTAATATAGGTATATGCAGCCGTTTATAACTTCGTTTCCAGCAATAATCACCAAAAACGCAAATGTTATCGCGGATATTTCACCCGTTTATATTGCGCGCATTATAACGTGATAAACGCGCGTCACACGAGGCGAGAGACGTTATAGGTATAAAGCTCTCGGCGCGCACGGGATCTTATAAATCTCAAGATGGATCGCGTGCACATGCGTAAATGCTGCTACGGTGCATTATAGTATAAATAGATTGCGTCGTGTCGTTCGGGCGCGCGTTTGAATGAACGCGTGCACCGTACATACGAGAGGAGGGACCCGGCGTACAGATATAGTAGATGAGTATGTAGTAAAAGAACAAGAGAGAGAGAAAGAGAAAGAAAAAAGCACCAACAACAAAATTCAATTCGAGAGCATCACTATACTAAATGAGCTTGAATTATATTATAACGTATGTGTCTGTATGTGTGTGTGTGTGTGTGGGCGGATCTCAGCGAGCGTCTTTGCGAACGACCG